AGGTGAGGATGGAGCACTGCCACCCACCACCCCACACCGCTGAGCACACTGTGCAGCCGAGGGGGAGGGGGAGGGGGAGGAGGAGCGAGGGCAGCGGTGCCCTTCTGCAGGCTGCACAGGCACTGCCTGGCCAGCCAGATGCAGAGGGGAGGTGGGGGAAGCTCGCACACGGCCACCGCCACTGCCACCATCCACCACTAGGCCATCATAGAGGACAGTCCAGTTGTTCTCTATTGATATGAAACAAGATGCCTTTATTTTTCTCTTGAGGAGAGAAAGAATAGAGGACATAAAAAGACATCAGGTTTTGTATCAATAGAGGACAGAGCAGCAGAAAACCAGAATGTCCTCTATGATGGCCACCCTACCCACCACCCCACACTGCTGCTGCTCCACATCCAGCAGTCCACCCCTCCACCAGGGGTACACTTATTAAAATAGGTTGAAAACCCCTGTTCTAAGCTTTGGAAATGGAAAGGAAACTTTGTGAGGCAGTTTACAGTTGCTCTCAAAAGGAAAGGCTTTGTTGAAGGTGTGGCAAGGTCACGATTTTAGAAATGACTGGTTATTCTGAGTGTCTAGTACTAAACACCTTAAAACAGACCAATATTCATAAAGGATCCAGCACCCAGGATCTTTTACTTTGTGGGGCTTGACTGGGGGGTGAGGGGAAGGGGGAAAGTAAGCCCCTATGAGAGGGGATTTCTTAGACACTCAAAACTAAATAATGCATGTTAAAGTGCAGGACAGGGGCCTGTTGCCTTTAAGAATTCTTAAGGACATGCTGACATGCGTCCCTCAATCTTGGCCCTAGTGACTTGACTTTTCTTCCATTTACATTGTACTTAGCTCTGGAAGACAAAACAGCTACTGTCTTATCAGCCATTTATTCACTCAGGGCGTCGCAGGGGGAGCAATGTTCACCACAGAGGTGTTTAACCTCAGGGCAGCTCAGGAAAGCCTCCTCTGCATTCTCCATAGACCACAGTCAGAAAATCCCCATTCGCTTCTTTCCACCCCGCCTTCTTTGGAAGCAAAGTATCGTTAGTACAAGCAGCTTCAAGCAGGCACAGATGTACGAAGAGCTGCACAATGAGGGCTCCTATGTGATCTTCTGCTTATAGTCCTTGATACTCTGGAGAACAACCTAGCAGAGACACCAGAAGATGCTGGGTCTAATGACAAGGGATTAGACACAATCCAGACAGACTCAGCATTCCCTCTGGGGCCCCCAAGACACACAGAAGAAATAGGGGCAGCCGAAATGCAGAGGACATCATAGCATCATCCCAGTTGGTTTTCTTTGCCAAAATAATTTATAAGCTTGTGACAGGAAGACTGAATTGCCCAGGGCTTGACATAGTGCTTAAGGCAAGTTGGGGGCAAAGGAAACTTTTTTTTTTTCCTTACTCGAAACAACATACAAAGTAAAACAAGATTCCAACAATACATGAACCATTAGCAATAGCCAATCCCAAGTTATAAGAGCCCCATTTTAAAGCCCCACCATCAAGCTCCAAGTACTCTCTCAGTCCCACCTTTTGGGACAGTCTGCATCTTTGAAGCCACCAAAACTTCACTTGCCATTTCAGGCAGGTTCACTGTAATGCAGGACTGTCCGGGGGGAAAATAATTAAATAAAAATACCCATGTGTGGAGTGGATTGTTGTGCAACTCAAGGCTGGTTTATTTTGGGTCACCTCACGTCCGTCACGATGCACCTCATGTACACGCTCATACACCCCCTCATATTTGCATGTGTGCGCATGTTAAATCAGACAAGCAACCCTGGCCCATTCAAAATTTGAGCAGATTCCCAGCGAGGCAACCCCTGGCAGGTTAGTTCTCCCATTCAAAGAGTCACAGGAGAGCTTTCTGACCGCAGACTCTGCAAACATGGCGGCTCCAAAGAGGGCTACAATCACATCGCAGAGGCAGCATATCCACCAGAATGGATACACATTCACAGATACACAGGACTCCTAAAATACACCGCAACTAATGTTAGTCATTCCATGACAACTTGCGCTGCTAATGCAGAGGCCTCTGTGACTGCATCATGCACAAGCAGCCCCCAGAGCTGTCCCTGGATTAGAGCAAACCTGAACAGTTTGAGTGAACTTTACCATCATCTATATCCATATCCTTGCCATCATAATTGCAGGCAGGAATGGAAGCACATTCCCAGGCCAAGCAGTTTGAACCCCTGCTTGCCCATGGTCATTTGTTGGAATCTAGGTTTTCTGCTATCTGGAAGTTTGCACAAGGTGTTGGGGACTGGAGAGTCAGTGACACATGCTCAGCTGCATATACGAGAGGGTGGAGGGAAGACTGCAGTACCTTGTTTTCTGATTCAGTAGAGAAGATTGGTCTCTAGCCTTGCCTGCCTTGCCATAGTTTACCAGGGAAATGTGGGGAAGGGGAGGAGAATTTCTCCCCTCCAGAAACCAAATGGATAGATCAGCCTTGATGGAGAAAATCAAGGACAGCAAGCAGTTGGAGGAGACAGTTCTAGTGCATGTTGGATGAGAATGGAATAGCAGAGAGAAGATGCTCTGCTTATCAATGGGAGTGCCTTACAATGAAATGGCCTGCTGGTCTCACATTTTCGCTAGCCACATGTGCATCAGCTTGGAAAAGACCCAAATTGTGCCAAAGGCAGCTGCACATGAAGAAAGCTACAGAGGCAACCCCTTTAATAGGACAGTCTCTCTATCGCATGACAGTCAAAAGAGTTGAGGGAAAGGGATTTGAGACAATGGCTGTGCAGTAGTTTGAGACCACATCTGGCCTATAAAGTTTTGTGGGAAAAGCTCAGTAAGAAAGGAGCATGAAGAAACAACATGGCCAAGCCAATGTAGTGGTGGTGGCAAAACTCCTGGTGGAGATGTGGTTCTGCCAACAGAAGAGAAGTGGTGATGCTATTCCAGCAGTGAAGCCCCTTCTGTTGGCATATCCCATGTCTCCATTGGGGCTATACCATTTCAATGGCTGTTTGCTAGTGTTATAGCCATGATGGCCCAAGGGAACATAGATCTTGCTTTGTGCATTGCCCTTACCAGCACAGCTGCACAATTCTTGTCACACTCCCAGAAACGGCAAGTTCTAAATGAAGGCTGCCCCCTGGCTATTCTCACCAGCAAAGCCTGCCAGATCACTCCAGGCTCTTTTTATATCCCAAAAGTTGCCCAATTACTCCTGAGGGCCCAGCAGTGTGCAAGTGCAAAGCAATTAGTGTCCAAGACCACAGAAGATTCAGTCTCATCACCCAGACCAGATTCCAACCAACATACCCAGAGCTGGCTGAGACAGTCTGTGCTGAGATACAGAACTCCAACTGCAGAGCTGCAGCTTCCCAAGATAGCAGTGGGCAGCCCCTGCCGGAGCAGCCATTCAAGAGCAACAGAAGACAGAGACACCTACTAGTTTTGACCACAGCCAAGCCCACCCACACACTCCATTGTAAATCAAACACATCACTACTGCTCACTTCCTTCCTAGCAGAGGAGCCAAGGGAATAGAAAGGCCTCTCCCCAAACCAATGGGCCAAGACCTATTGCACTGCTGCACCCAATTCCATGTGGAAGCTATGCTGGCCTTCCGCACCCAGCCCAGATACCCCCAGAATCTGCCTTGCCAAGACTGGCTGGACAAGTACCTCCCCTGTGCAACTGGTTGAAAAACTCCTACAAAATACAAGACGACAGGACAGCCCAGATGTTCTCGCCTCCCTTTAACATCTTCCCTCCCTCCATAAACTGTTAAGCCTTCACTAATTTTGAGCCTCTGTTCTTCGGCAATAACCAGATGTTGACATCAAGTCGGTGGACTACAACAGAGTCAACACTCCAGGATGAAGCGTAAGTAACTTGGAACAAACAAGGACTGAAGAACATGTCCTCCACAGGTCTAAGCTAGCCTAGTTCCAATGAAATCCCATGAGGTGCCCCCACTTATGTTAGCTGAGGCTCTGGCCCCAAGTACCATGAAGCACCGATAGGTCAAGCAACTGGTTAAAGGATATGCAACTTTTCAGCTTTAGCTCCCTTGTGCAAATCCAACTGAGGTTGTTAATGGCCAAGAGCTACATGTTATGCACCAGCCATCTACTGGCTTCTGCCAAACACATATCCAAGCATCTAGCCCCCTTATTGACAGTCACCACAGAGAGGCTGAGGCCTAAACAGTCTGTGGAAATGGAACAATGCTGCGAGTTGGAGAGGAAACACCTTGGCAAAATAAGCAATAGGTTTATAGGACAAACAGGTGTAGATACAGGGCTTCACATTCAGGGCTATCAATGCAGCCACTTTCGCTGGCATTGAAGTCACATGGCCAAAAAAGAACCCTTCAATAACATCCCTTTTGTTGACTTATGGACTTTCAATATTGGTCACCTCTGAGAGGAAGCAGAAAGTGCCAGTTACTGATATGTCCACACTCATTCCTGCCCCTAAATACTACCACCACCATGCCACAGCTGCCAAACATTTCCAAAGAAATAAAAAGCTAGGAGGTTACAAAACTAGGTGTTGTTGCTAGCCTTGGGACCTGGAAACATCCTGGCTTCAGCTCCTCAAAGCATAGTCAGCACAAAACTGGGAGGGAGTAGAAGAGTGTCCAACTGGGGGTTGAGAACGAGGAACTTCCCAGCAGCTGTTTGACCAGTAGCCGAAGAAGTGCATCTGTGCAGATACTTTCTGCAGAATTCTAGCTACATTCACTTTGGCTGGGCTTCAGACCTATTTCTGGAAGCTTGGGGGAAAAAAAAACCCTCCGGGGAGGTGCTTTTCACTTTCAGTTCCATGCATGGGGCCTTTGGCTTGAATGCAAATTACTGGTTGGGCCAACTTAAAGGTGAACTGCAGTCAGGACATCAGATCATATGACAGCACCTCACCCAGTTATGCATAGCAGGCTGCTTTCCTCCCCAGCCCATCCCAAAACATTCACGTCTCTCAGCACAAGCATTGCTCCAGCAGTAAAAGCTGCACACTCACCCATCTTTGGAGAGATGGTGTCGGAAGAAGTCATTGGCCGCTAGCTTGATGGCCTTTTCTGGCGTCACTAGAGTCAGGTTCACCGCAGCCCCTGGGGAAGGAACAAGAGGAAAGGTGCACTGGAGCAGCCGAAAAAAGGACTTGATCACTGAATGGATTATGGAGTGCAGTGACTTCTGCACTAGTGGGGTTTGCAACTTTAAATCCAACCAGGAACAAAAAGGGGAGGTGGCGGGGGAAGGGTGGGGGAGGGAATGTTTTCCCAAAGTACTCAAACACAAAAAACACTGAAAGTCAATGGGTCTTGTCCAAATCCCTTGAGCACGTGAAGATCTCACCAGAAGTCTCTTGGCTCCTTTTTCAACAAGCTCTTGAAATTCCTGTTACATTAGCAGAACCCACTTTGTATGTGTCTGTGCACACCCCCACAGCCTGATCCAAGAAAACTGAAACAAATGTTCTCAATGATTTCAGGAGACTTTGGATGAAGGTTCAAGGCAGGACACGTTCCATTAGTTATAGCCCCATCCTGCCTTTGTAGACAGCTTCTTCCAGGCTTGGAGAAATCAAGATCTCCCCAGAAGAAGACTGGCATACGGCAGTCCTCAGACTTACGACACAATTAGTTCCTGAAAACCATGTCTTAAGTCAAAACGTCGCAACTTGGAACCAATTTTCTCATAAGAAACAATATCCTAAATGGGGGATTGGTTCCTGAACCAAGGCCTGATACCTTATTTTCACCAAAAAATACCCCAGAATTTTGTACTCAATCACTTATAGACAAGTAACATAGCTACATTAATGTATTTCTATTGTAAATAGCAATCATATTGATTTGGAAGAACTTATTTGAGGTGACTCTGCTGGACTTTTTGAAGGGTTCTTGGCTGGAGTCTTCTTAGGAGTCTTGGCTGCAGGTTTTTCTGGAGTCTTGTCTGCTTTCTTAAAGAAAGTGTCCAAGGAAGTCTGGACAGATGTTCTCCAGGGAGACAGGCGACACAGCGAACTTGTTCGCTGGCGTGGTTTGGCATCAGATCAAGTGTTGTAAAGTCAAGACTGAGTTCATAAAGTTGAACCAGGGTGTCAATTTATAAACGTGATACCCGTGGAATGTTGTAACTCGAAACGTTGTAAGTCGAGGACTGCCTGTACTTAACTTGTTTTTAGTCACGTTGTCTAGGGAGGTCATGGGCTGTGGAAGGCTTGGGGACTGATTGAAAACCCACTGAAGTCAACAGGAGTGCCTCTACCAGGCTCTGAATCGAACCCTTAGGACAGAAACCTTCATTTCTCATTTCACCATTGAGTGTCACCCTTAGAACAGCCTCACAATGGCCTGGATCTAGAGGGTACATACATGGCAAGGACCCAGTCTGTAATAAATCACATAAGAGCACCAGAGGCCAGGCCTAGTCCCAACCCACAGCAGAGGGCTGAATACCTCTGCTCTGGTATGTCAACAGCACTTCACACTCCCACTACGTTTAAGTATTCTATTGTTGCCTGCAACAAATGGCAAATCCCTACATTGTTGTTGCCACAATGAACAGCCTGCACAGCTCTGTTTTCAGACTGACAGCTATGAAGACCAGTATTAGTCAAACACAAGGGCATCCTAGCAGGTTTTAAGTCACCCTGGGTGTGGGTGGGGCAAAACAAACGGAGTGGTGCAGCTTCCTGCTCTGAGCTAATGGTTGCAATGTTTGGTTTGTGATTTCAGCCTCTTAGCACATTTTAGCTTGGAAGGAGCCCTCTAACAGGTAGTCTTGCCCATTCCCATCCTGCACTGGGGGCAGCTTTGATTCTCAAGCCAAAATTATAAAATTATACTATTAATACTCATAATTATTAAAATTATAACCCCCCCACCCCCAACGTAAATCTAAATCAGCCACGTGCACCAAAATTAAGTGCCTATTAGAGAGTCCCGGTATAAGCTCAAATTATTGATGAAGCTGCCAAGGGCCAGAAAATACAATGGACCTTCCAGAGGAGAAATGATTTTTTTTATGATTTCTTTTATTGGACCAACCGTGTAGTTGGGAGCACTACTGAACAAGCTTTTGGACAACAAATGACCCAAGGAAGGGCATTTGTTGCCCAAAAGCTTTGTCCAGTAACAGTCCCAATTATACAGCTAGTCCAATCAAATGATATCACAAAAAAATCCCTGCCTCTTAGACATTTCCTGGACCATCACAGCTACAGCACTCCAACCCAAATACACCCTTCCATACACAAGGGGGGAAAAAAAATAATCTCCCAGCTTTATATTTGTGCACAGGCTTCCAGGAGAAAGGGAGGCAGAAATTTAATGACAGGAGAGTTAATGGGATGAGTTTTCATATGAAATACAGAAGCTCTCAAATTAATGAAGAAGCTTTGGGATTAATGTTGCCTCAACCGCAACTGGACAGAAAGGGTGGAGAAAAAAATTTGACTATATACAATTTTAAAAAAGAACCTGGGTTCTGTCTTAAATCTTTGCTATTTTCAGCAAAGCTGCTTAACAGAGAATGGATAATCCTTGTCCTCAATAACCCATAACAGACCTAAGTCCCCAAAGGAGGAGGAATGGAGTATATTATGAAGACAACTTGGCAGTTGATAATGCATTCTCAAATTTGGCCAAACTCTCCCACACTCTGGACACCCAAAAAATAGTTTCATGCATCCCCTATCACAGGTGGCTTAAGGCTTGTTCTTCTGTACTCCAAGTTCACATTTAGAAGGCCTCCCCAGAGAGCAGACAATGCTACATGGATGTTAAGTGACAGCAGAGAACTGGAAAGCAGGATAAATTAAATACCATGACAAAAGTTTCAAGTGGTAGAAGTGTTATTAAGAATCTCAAATTTCCAGGCTTTGAAACAAAAGCAATGGCCTTATCATTTTGTAGTCCTGATGAATCTTCTATATGGGAATTTTACTTACAAACTTCAGAGGCTTTGTTGTAAACGGTATATTTTATCTTGGAAGCCCCATATCCTAGTAGCACCTTGCAAACTGGTACTTGGACCAAGGTGTTTTGTTTTTGATCACTGGTGTGGTCCATGTGGTCTAAAAGAGGGGAAAAGATCCCCAACCCTGTTGAAGTAGTCCTATCAGGTTATAAGTAGACAGGAAGTTTTTAGCACTGGGAAAGAAAAATGAGACAGTGCCACTAAAAAGTCAAATCAGAAAAGACATGGAAAACAGGAAAGCAGGAGGACTATGAAAACAGTGGGATTTTTCACTACCTAAGCTCTTATAGCTAGAAATTCACATTATGCATTACTGACTAGGTAGGAATCTCAGTGGGCCAAACCTTCATATGACCATAATGTTTACACCCATGGTGACTTTGGGGATTCTGTGCACCTGGATTTTAGAACCAAAAACCAGGGTAGGGGGAAGGATTTTGCAAGAGATGAGTGAACCTAGTCCAGTCCTAGCACGTATTTGGGCATGAATATTAGGCAGATGTGCCATTGCCTTGGATTCAGATGTTTTGTTTAAATCACAGTGAGTTTTGAGGTTTTGGCTAACTGAAGGAGTGGGGCACCTGCAGGCTTTCTGGCAAGGGGGTGGAAAAAAAAGAAAAAAAAAAAATCGAATTCAAACCAATGTGGCAAGA